GAAGATGTGTGAACGTCAACTCCCAGATTGCCCCAGCCAGCATTCGCTGCCTGAGGAATTCTGGGAGTTGAAGTCCAGACATCTTCAAGTTGCCAAAGTTGAGAAACACTGAACTAAAATGACATTATGACTGGCTGAGGGAATATACTGGTCCAGTATCTGATTTCCCTTCGTATAAATGATTCTGTATTTGGATGGTTAGCTGGCTGAGATATTGGCATTTGAACAAAGAGCATTTATTTTGTGTTTTACTACTCTGGATGAAACGTTAACATATATTGCTAGTCCGTGTACGATATGCCGTGCGCTAAATAAATAAAGAAGTAAAATTCTGAATGGGGGAGTGGGGACAAGAGGGCCGTGTTTTCAATTACAGCAAAAAAATAAAAATAAAAAATCTACTGGCTCATTTCGATGCAGCCACACATTTTTCTTAGCTGGTTAAACAAATCTGGCTTCTAATTGCTCATTGCTTATTCAAAGGATTTGAAATTATGAGGAGCTGTAATAACTAGAAATAATTCTCTCAGGGCTAGAAGCTGATTTTTTTAAAAAGAGATTGAAAGATTCTGTTTCTTCCATATATAGGTATGTATTTATGTATGTATATTTCTTCCGATAGCCACATTTTTGCAAGCGTACCAAAAAGGCAACTACAGAGGATCACGGGCTGCCTCAGAGCCACTGTTACAGGAGGGCAAAATTGCTCATACAATAACAACTAGGGTCTCATTATTCAGTGATGCTTCAGAATACGAAAAGCAGAAGGAAAAAAAAAAGGCTTTAGGTGTTTTCTTAAGGGAATAGCGGAGTAATTATGAAGAAAAGCACCTCTGGATCTCCACTGCTTTCTCCCTTGCAAATGGAGGATTTTCCCGATCCCTTTCGTTCAAGGGAGTGTAAAATTAGACCCTGGTCTTGCAACGGTTAGAGGAAAAAAATGAAAATCTTCATGAGCACCCAGCTGATTTAAGGAAATATCCATCCTCCGAGGTACAGAAAACACAGGCCCTCTGTTTTCTCAACACAGCTATGTTTCTCAACCTTGGCAACTTTACCTGGCTGGGGAATTCTGGGAATTGAAGTCCACCCAAGTTTCCAGGGTTGAAAAAGATTGCCCTGCCTCTCAAAAACTCAAAAACACCCACCGCTCTTTTTCTCCTTGGTTTTTAATTGTAAATTTGTGACTCTTTATGTGAAGTTCTGCTTCCATATTTCCGGTTACACTGTTAATTGGGGTGCATTCCCCGAAATGAATGGGATATCTCAGCGGGAACTTCCACCGGCAATCCTGTTCCTGCCCTTTCAAAATAGGGGCCCTGAAGTTTTGGGAGAGGCCCACCTTGGATGTGTGCCACAGAGAAGAGAGAGGTGCAAAGTCATTCTTTGGCTCCTGCGGTGCGGGATGGACGCATCCTTCATTTTGGAGAACTAGGCTTGTTCAAGTTCTACCAGCACCCCGTCACAGTCTTTGGGGTGCAGGAAAACTACCGGCTTTCCGTGAGCCCCGATTTGGGGTTCGTCACTCAGAACGCGGATATTTTTCCTCTTCAGCTCTTTGATGGCGTTGGCGATATTGTCCACCTGGCAAAACAAAGAGAGAGAGAGATCAGTTTTCGAAGAGTTGTTTGTCAGAAATAGAGACTTCTTAAAACGAGAAGAGAAAACCTCTGGGGCCCCAGATGTTCCTCAAATACAACGCTCAACGCGCAAGGCTATTGGGGGGGAAAGGCTTGGAAGGATAGTTCAGTGCATTCATTGTCAAATAAATCACTGCAGTTGTTATATCAATAACACAGTTGTGGAGTGAATCTGGAGACTCTAGGAAGAGTGCAGAGAAGAGCAACCAAGAGGATTAGGGGACTGGAGGCTAAAACATATGAAGAACGGTTGCAGGAACTGGGAATGGCTAGTTTAATGAAGAGAAGGACTAGGGGAGACATGATGGAAGTCTTCCAATATCTCAGGGGTTGCCCCAAAGAAGAGGGAGTTAAGCTATTCTCCAAGGCACCTGAGGGCAGAACAAGAAGCAATGGATGGAAACTAATCAAGGAGAGAAGCAACTTAGAAATTCTAAGGAGAAATTTCCTGACAGTGAGAACAATTAATCAGTGGAACCGCTTGCCTCCAGAAGTTGTGAATGCTCCA